AGCGATCCCCTTAAAGACCATCACAGCTACGGTCTTGGTGAAACATCTACTCTGGTTCGTCTCGCGATATGGTCTCCCTAAGACCATTCAGACGGATCAGGGATCGAATTTTATGTCACGTTTGTTTCGCCAACAGATCGCCGACCTGGGAATCCAACACATTACCTCCAGTGCCTACCATCCCGAGTCGCAAGGAGCTTTGGAGCGTTTCCACCAGACGCTGAAGGGCATGCTTCGGAAGTTTTGCTATGACCGGCAGAGTAAGTGGGTTGAAGACCTACCCTACCTCCTATTTGCGGTAAGATCAGTGCCTAATGAATCACTAGGAATCTCCCCATTCGAGATTATTTATGGCCACTCTGTGAGAGGTCCCTTAGAAGTGGCACGATACCATTGGCTGGACGAAGAGACCAACGTAGACGTTGTGGACTGGCTATCTACAAATAAAGGCAGGCTGTTCTCTGCTTGGGAAATGGCAAAGAAAACCTTAGAGGATATGCAGAAGACCACCAAGAGCAGGTACGATAAGAGGACCAAACAAAGGGATTTCCTAGTAGGGGATTTAGTTTTGGTATGTACTCCCACAGTGACGAAGTTTGAGCGCTAAATTTGTAGGTCCTTACCAGGTCTTAAGGAAGGTTACTAGTCATAATTACCTTCTTAACACTCCAGACCGCAGAAAGAAGGAAACTTTAGTTCATGTTAACATGATTAAAAAATATGAGGGCCGAGATACACTCCCAATAACCATGGTGACAACTAAAGATGACTTTGAGGAGGATGAGGAGGTACTAACTAACTCAGAGGTTCTACATAAATTGCAGGCAAAGTTGACACATGTGGCTGAAGGAGATCAACCATCATTGCTGAAAATGATCCGGAGGTACAAGACAATCAGATGTTCCAGGACTAACATCTGTCCTACAGCATAATGTCGTGCTGGAGGAAGGGGTCCGGCCTATAAAGCAACATCCCTACCGACTCAACCCCCTGAAGAAAAGGGTGGTGAAAGATGAGGTGGAATACATGTTGAAACACCATCTAATAGCCCCAAGCACGAGCCCATGGTCATCCCCGATACTATTAGTGCCCAAACCTGGTAAGAAATACCGTTTCTGTATTGATTATCGCCAGGTGAATAAGGTCACAGTAGCTGATACCTATCCTCTCCCCAGGGTAGAAGAATGTCTAGATGCCATAGGTAAAGCTAGCTACCTGACGAAATTTGACCTATTTAAGGGCTATTGGCAAGTTCCCCTCACGGAGAGGGCCAAACCCATCTCTGCGTTCGTGACTCCCGACGGGCTGTTTGAATGTCAGGTGATGCCGTTTGGGATGAAAAACGCAGCATCCACCTTCCAGAGGCTGATGGGCATTGTGTTGCGTGACGTAGAAAACACCTTGGTCTACATCGATGATGTGCTAATATATGATCTTAATTAACAGGACCATCTACGTCACATAGAGGACTTCTTCGAGGCCATGCTCCAGTCAGGGTTGGTAGTCAACCTGCACAAATCTGCGTTTGCCAAAACCTCTGTCATCTTTCTAGGTCATAAGGTTGGAGGAGGATGGATTGCGCCAAAGGCCAGCAAGGTAGAGGCAATAGTCCAGTATCCTACACCAGCCACCAGGAAGGACATCTTGCGTTTTCTTGGTATGGCTGGTTTTTACCGTAAGTTTGTCCCTAACTTTTCATCCATCGCCGCCCCCCTGACAAATCTTTTGAGGAAGGATGCAAAACTGTTGTGGGATGAGTATTGCCAGGAAGCCTTTGAGAGCCTAAAGGCAATTCTAATCTCTTCTCCAATCCTCAGGTCCCCGAGTTTTGAGGATAGATTTATCCTGACTGTCGACGCTTCCGACTATGGCCTGGGGTCCATATTATCCCAGACGGATGAAAAAGGGGTGGAACATCATATAGCCTATGTGACGGTAAAGCGTTGGTGTTCGGCTGTTCAAAAGCTAGGGGTATGGCCTCGTCACATAGAAACAAAAAATAGAAAATCTGGAACTTCGTCTGTGGTAAGGTAATGGGAAGACACACAAAACACAAGTAAATTTAACAATGAGATTTTAATTACGTTAGAAAAGCAAAACATGAATAAAATGGACAAACAAATTCGTATCATAAAATCAATCGATCAAAATAATAAGAATAATCAAATGGCAAAATGAAAAGTTACGTTAAGACAAGTGAGTAATAAGTGTATAACAAACAATGTAAATATGGATGCAGGAATATTGGCTTTAAGCTGCCACCTCTCTTAGTACACGTAAGCCACAGCTTAGTCTACCAACGAGACGTGTTAACTTGTTGAAAGCACTGGATATTCTGAGGGCTGAGGGTCGTGTGGCCCCAGACATCAGGTAGTGTGGTGGGTGGAGGGCAGGTGCAACTGGACCCGCAGCCAATCAGCGATGGGCATACGACAGAGAGGTAGTTTGGCGGTTCGAGGTGGAGCAGGAGTTCCTGGCTGCATACGTTTTGCGCTCTGGCAAACCTTAGTGGATTGTATTTGTTGGATGTTTCTTCCATATTAGTTGTATAGGGATGTATATAACGACGAATTTTGGAGGGAAGAGCAGGCTCAATCTCTTGAAGGAGATTATCGTCACACCTACCATTCTAAGAAGTTTACCCCCAGTCAGCTCAACTATTCCGTCATAGAAAGAGAGACGTTGGCCTTAATCAGTTCATTCCAACACTTTGAAGTATATCTAACAAGTAATAGTCACCCTATCCTAGTACGAACTGACCATAACCCTCTAAAGTTTCTCGCACAGTTTAAACAGAAGAATCTTAGACTCACCAGATGGAGTCTACATCTGCAACAATATCCCCTCCAGATTGAGCACATCAAAGGAGTGGATAACGTTGTAGCTGATGCATTGTCCCGCATCTAAACCACTGAATAATTTCGTTTGTTTCCTTTTTTTTTAGAAACCCAAACCAAATTCTTTTGGTGGGGAGGTGTTACGAACCAAAATCTTCGTCCGAGCATGAAGCCATGAAGTTAGCACCATCTGTGAGTCGCCAGCCGAAAACTCCACAAAATGCACAACGCCGTCTAGTGAGGACGGGATATACTAGCCACAGGTGCTGGATTCCCGTCTTAATCACCTCATAACGTAGCCGCTGCTGACCTCTGATGAGGTGGCGCCTAGACAGTGAACGCCATCTATGGAGCAAATAGGTGGACGTTTCTGTCTAAGCTAGTAAGTGATGTTTCCTAGTGGCCCCAGGTAGTATCCCCAGTACTAATGATGTATCTGATTGCAGAGTCGACCTGGGACTGCTGTATTGGACGATGGATCATTCTACCCAAGGCAGCCAAGGTCTCTTCACCAGTCTGCTTTGAAGAAGCTGAGTCACCCCCGGACGAACTCTGTTGAGAGTATTAGCCTGCCTGTGGCGTGGCAGTGTCGGGAATCACCTTATCCGGGGTTGGCTGGTGGAAGAGACCACCCACTGGGGTGCTGTATGAGGAGAGTGACCAGCGAGTCGCACGAGGCTCCTGGCTAGGGCACGCAACCCTAGTATCGGTCGTGGAGTGGCCTACACAGCGGAGCTGATCGGTACCTGCCAGCTACAGGCTGGATTGTGGTTGAAGGCCTCCACGACAAAGCACCCAGTGGGACTGATTTGGCTGGCCTGTGACCAGGGTAGATTCGTCATAGTCATAGTGGATTCATCGTGGGCCACGGAAGACGGAACCAGGGCTACCCAGAGTGAGCATCGTTGAGCATCCAGTGGCTTCGGAGGAAGACGCAACTGTACATAAGTGTAGAAATAATCCCCGTGTGCGACTTATTTATATATGGTGGTGGTAAATATATCAGAAAAACTGGAACATTTGTATCCCTTCCCCTTTAATTTAACTTGCGTTACGGAACACACCCCTTGAAAGCCTCTACTAACTTGGGGACGGATTCCCAAACTCTACCACCATCAGAGAAGAACCCGGTTGCGTCCCAGTAGGGCCGTAACAGAGGGAGCGCGAGGGAGGGAGCGCGAGGGAGGGAGCGCGAGGGGTCGGGAGGGAGCGCGAGGGAGGGAGCGCGAGGGAGCGCGAGGGAGGGGTCGGGAAGGAGCGCGAGGGAGCACGAGGGAGGGGTCGGGAGGGAGCGCGAGGGAGCGCGAGGGAGGGGTCGGGAGGGAGCGCGAGGGAGGGGTCGGGAAGGAGCGCGAGGGAGGGGTCGGGAAGGAGCGCGAGGGAGCGCGAGGGAGGGGTCGGGAGGGAGCGCGAGGGGTCGGGAGGGGAGGGAGGGAGGGAGCGCGAGGGGTCGGGAGGGAGCGCGAGGGGTCGGGAGGGAGCGCGAGGGGTCGGGAGGGAGCGCGAGGGGTCGGGAGGGAGCGCGAGGGGTCGGGAGGGAGGGAGGGAGGGAGCGCGAGGGGTCGGGAGGGAGGGAGGGAGGGAGCGCGAGGGGTCGGGAGGGAGGGAGGGAGGGAGCGCGAGGGGTCGGGAGGGAGGGAGGGAGGGAGCGCGAGGGGTCGGGAGGGAGGGAGGGAGGGAGCGCGAGGGGTCGGGAGGGAGGGAGGGAGGGAGCGCGAGGGGTCGGGAGGGAGGGAGGGAGGGAGCGCGAGGGGTCGGGAGGGAGGGAGGGAGGGAGCGCGAGGGGTCGGGAGGGAGGGAGGGAGGGAGGGAGCGCGAGGGGTCGGGAGGGAGGGAGGGAGGGAGGGAGCGCGAGGGGTCGGGAGGGAGGGAGGGAGGGAGGGAGCGCGAGGGGTCGGGAGGGAGGGAGGGAGGGAGGGAGCGCGAGGGGTCGGGAGGGAGGGAGGGAGGGAGGGAGCGCGAGGGGTCGGGAGGGAGGGAGGGAGGGAGGGAGCGCGAGGGGTCGGAGAGGGAGGGAGGGAGGGAGGGAGCGCGAGGGGTCGGGAGGGAGGGAGGGAGGGAGGGAGCGCGAGGGGTCGGGAGGGAGGGAGCGCGAGGGGTCGGGAGGGAGGGAGGGAGGGAGCGCGAGGGGTCGGGAGGGAGGGAGGGAGGGAGCGCGAGGGGTCGGGAGGGAGGGAGGGAGGGAGCGCGAGGGGTCGGGAGGGTGCGCGAGGGGTTGGGGAGGGTGCGCGAGGGGTTGGGGAGGGAGGGAGGGAGCGCGAGGGGTCGGGGAGGGAGGGAGGGAGCGCGAGGGGTCGGGGAGGGAAGGAGGGAGCGCGAGGGGTCGGGGAGGGAGGGAGGGAGCGCGAGGGGTCGGGGGAGGGAGGGAGGGAGCGCGAGGGGTCGGGAGGGAGGGAGGGAGCGCGAGGGGTCGGGAGGGAGGGAGGGAGCGCGAGGGGTCGGGGAGGGAGGGAGGGAGCGCGAGGGGTCGGGAGGGAGGGAGGGAGCGCGAGGGGTCGGGAGGGAGGGAGGGAGCGCGAGGGGTCGGGGAGGGAGGGAGGGAGCGCGAGGGGTCGGGAGGGAGGGAGGGAGCGCGAGGGGTCGGGAGGGAGGGAGGGAGCGCGAGGGGTCGGGAGGGAGGGAGGGAGCGCGAGGGGTCGGGAGGGAGCGCGAGGGGTCGGGAGGGAGGGAGCGCGAGGGGTCGGGAGGGAGGGAGGGAGGGAGCGCGAGGGGTCGGGAGGGAGGGAGGGAGGGAGCGCGAGGGGTCTGGAGGGAGGGAGGGAGGGAGCGCGAGGGGTCGGGAGGGAGGGAGGGAGCGCGAGGGGTCGGGAGGGTGGGAGGGAGCGCGAGGGGTCGGGAGGGGAGGGAGGGGAGGGGAGGGAGCGCGAGGGAGGGAGCGCGAGGGGTCGGGAGGGAGGGTGGTGGCTGGCACGCACCCATGGGTGGAGCTCAGGAAGGAGGGAAGAGCCACAAAGTGGATGGCAGGGCACGTAGGTGGCGGAGGTTTGCGGGTGGACACACTGCTGGAATGGTGTGCGGATAGAGGGGGAGACGTTGTTGTAATATTGGTCTGCTTGCTTGCTTAAATGGACGTGTTATTAACACACATCCAGTGTGTTAATTTTATATAAACACAGTATACATCCAGTGTATATCATATAACAAAAGCAAATCGAGGTGGAGGACTTGAGCTTAATCCTGAACTCTTTGTTCTTACGTTTAAATACGACAGTTTTAAATTTCATGTAAAGTGATTTGTTAACAGTAACATTGTTGTATCACTGGAGTGTCAAGTGTAATATATATATATTGACCTTATATCTAGGACTATGTATGTATATACCTTACCTGAATAAACATCTGAATCTGAATCTGACTATTGCAGTATACAGGGGGAAGAGATCAGCACCAGAAGGGTCTTGCACGAGCTAGCGATGGTGGTTTGAAATGGCAGGGAATTCTAGTTTCCTGTTGACCCTTAATGTGTTCAAGCTCCTGGAAGACGATGTGCTGACCGCTCACCTACGCTTTGGGGTGTGAAAATGATATGGCTAAAGCACTGGATTCCCGGAAGATCTGATTCGTCACTTACGGAAACTGCAGAAGACTGGTGTTTACAGTGACGTAGAAATATTAACTAGTGAGGGTATTAGACTCCCAGCTCACTGCGCAACACTGCAACCCATCCTCGACTCAAGTCCATTACATCCAGCATTCGACCCCCTCAGACGCATTCATAAATTTTTACACGCTATTCAGTCAAAACGGGAATTTTCTCATTAATTTATATTATAATATATTAACATTGTGCATATATAAGGCATAGGTTAGGTTAGGTGTTTAGGTTCTGTTGGTGATTATTTGTATTTGTAGTCCGTGGGTGAAGCATTTACTTCACTAATGCACTAATTCAAAAATCAAAGTCAACTTTGATATCTAATCAGCTGTCAGGATAGATGAAAACAGTCCCTGTAGAACAAGGTAATGTTCATCATCTCTATAGTCCCGCTGCTAAGTATAATCTCATCCAAACAGCAGCTAGCAAAAGTCAAACCTCTGTCAATGAGTGCCTTACAAAGCAGCGTAGATCCCTCCTCCACAGGCTGCATATAATTCGCAAACAAACCCAAAGTCTTATAAAACAGTGTTACACTGGAAATGGAACGATCATTGTAAAGAAAGAAAAGAACATAGACAAGAAAAAGTGTTAATAACACCTAACAAATTTCTTTAATGACTGACGTAACTGAAAACCAGCATTCTTCCAATATCATTACTGAAATATCTCATATCTAATATCAAACCAGACCAATATCAAGTCTACCTATACTTTCAAAAATTTGAAAAAATTATTTGCGAACAGCTTTACTCCTACTTTGTAAAACAACTTATTCAAGTTCTCTGCCAGTTTGGCTTCCGTTCCCAAAAGAGTACCAATGATGCCATTATTAGTCTGCCTAATATAATTTGCACAGCCTTTAACAAAAATGAGTTCCAATTGGCATCTTTATTGACCTGATAAAGGCCTTTGATTATGTAAATCATAGCTACCTCTTACTTATACTTCACCACTATGGTATTCGAGGCCTTGCTCTGGACTATTTTTGTTCCTATCTCTGACCAATATATATCACCAATATATATATAGTCATCAATAGCATATCCTCCCCAATTCTCTCATTGACACTAGGGGTGTTACAGGGCAGCATTTTGGTATCTTCTATTTCTTATATTCATTAATGATTTGCCAAATATTTCTAACATTCTTAAACCAATATTATTTGCTGACGATACTACCTTCATCTATTCTGACCCCAACCCCCACACACTAAATATTATTGTCAACAGTGAATTAAAAAAAAAGTCCACTCGGTGATGTCAACCAACAAACTTACACTAACATAGAAATGACCTACATTTAATTTGGTAGTAAATCATCAAATCAGACTCGACTTCAGATAGATAATGTCAACATTACCAATAAAAATTAAGGGAAGTTCCTTGGCCTATCCATAGTCAACAGACTGAACTTCGGCACCAGCACCCACATACAACACATTGCCAAAAGAGTTTAAAAAACGGTCGATATACTTTCTAAAATCGGATATTATGTTCCCCACTCTGCTCTCCTCATTATACTATGACCTAATCTATCCCTATCTTATTAATTGTATCTGTGCATGGGGTTCAACCACTTCAAATTACCTCAAGCCTTGACGTGTATGAGAGCAAAGTCTTTGTTCTAGTTCCCTGTCTTATTGTCACAAGTGAATAAGTATGTAAAGTCTTGTTCCACCTGTCAGACGAAAAGGTGCCCCCAAGGTACAGGCCCCACTCCAAGACTTTCTTGAAATTTTAATCTCTAGATAAGGTAGGTGCGGACTTAATTCATTTGCACAGTAGTTACTCGGGCAATAGGTATGCTCCTGTGTTGGTGGACCATTTGTCCAGGCATACAATCTTGGTAGCACTTCCCCATAAGGACCCTTAGACACTAGCTGACGCATTTTTATGTAGATTCGTAACTGTTTGGACCTAAAATTTTAGTGTCTGACCGGGGACAAGAGTTTGTGAATAAGATTTTTCAAGAAGAATGTCTGATCTTAGAAACCACACTCCATACCACCCTCAGGCGAACGGCATGGTGGAACGAACCAACTGTACACTAAAATACGTGCTTGCTATTCTGGCAAAGAGACCCAGCCTCATGGGATGAACAGTTACCTTATGTACAGTTTGCACTGAACACAGTGGTGCATCAGTCGATTAATACTCAGCCACTCTTACTGTTCACTGGCCATTCATGTAACTTTGCATCAGGCTTGCAATGTTAACTTCTGAGAGGATTATCCTTCAGAATTTCTCATAAAAATTAAAAATGCCTGGAGAGTAGCCACCGAGGCGTCCAGTCAAGCGCATATGCAGTATGCTCACTATTATGATAGGCAGGTGCGACCATTGGTACTAAAAGAGGGCAGTTTAGTAATGAGACTGAACGAAAGGGGCCCCGCAAATCCTAGTAAAAAATTAGCAGCCAAATGGCAGGGTCAGTATAGAATTTAGAAAATTAGGCCCGGTAAACTTTATAATTAAGGGCATCTTCGATGACCAGACAAACAACAATTCATATTAAACAAAACGGGGCATTTGATAGTATTTTAAAAGTTTTTCAATGTCAACCAATATTTTTTGACAAGTTTTATATGAAAAAGGCTGCAATTGTTCCAAGTTTCAGTACTGCAGCCCAAAGGTAAGGTAATTATCAAAAGAAGGCACCAAACCGGGAAGGCTATGTAGCACCATCAAAGTGCGAAATAATCAGAGGGCGCTAAATATCACCAAGTAAGTAATTATCAAAAGAAGGCACCAAACCGGGAAGGCTATGTAGCACCATCAAATACGCAAAATAATCAGAGGGCGCTAAATATCACCAAGGATGCCAATACGAGAACAAAAACGCATAAGGCGAACGATATCAAAAGTATCCGAGTCACCAAGAATTCTATCGAGGGACAGGTGACCGCGAGGGGCGGTCGGAAAGCAAGACACACGCTCGTCCTGGAAGTCAGGACATTCAACAAGTATATGCACAACTGTAAGAGGGACAACGCAATTCGGACAATAAGGGGCAGGGCGGTGCTCCATTAAGTGACCGTGGGTTAAGCGGGTATGACCAACCCGTAGCCGTGCCAAAGCAGTTTCCCACCGCCGGTTACGGTGGTAGGAGGAAGGCCACGGGGACACTACATTTGCTGCAGCCCAAATAGCAAGGGAGATTTTTAATTTTTATTTTTCAACAAATTTTACACATTTTCAAGTTTAAATTTACGACCACACCTGTCAGATATAATCATTCTGTGACTTTTCTGACACATTAGGATATAAAGGATATCAAGTTGGGGATTTTCCAAAAATCTTTAGTTTTCCTAATACAAATAGTCAAAGTTCCCCCCAAAAATTATGCAAGTATATCATGTTTATTGCTATTTATAAAATATATAAATGAACTTTTGAAAAAATGTTTTCTCAGGATTTTAGAGAAACTTTACATAAAAGGTGTAAGTTTCCTGTAAACTGAATAAAAAATGAAAGATATTTCAACGTCTATGTTACTTGAAAATAAATAAGAAAAAATAAAGTCTAAGGTGTTGCCATCGGTGACTTGAGGTTGACATCAACCAATTTCCTCCAAAATTGGCACCCTTACAGATAGGCTTACATGCAGTCAGGTGTACAAGTTCATGCAAATC